GCGGACTTCTCGGATCTGCGCGCTGGAACCCCTGGCGACGCGTGCTCCGCGCGCAATGGAGGGGAGTCCAGCGCCGATCCGGGAAATCCGTGCGGATCGCAGATTAATCATGCTTATGTTTGTTTGTGCCACGATTTCGATTTGTCTCGACGATCGCCGGCTCAGAGCGTTGACCCGGCCGCCCCCCGCGACGCGCGGACGACCGCCCGCGGCCGAGGATCCCCGCGCGCATCTTCTCCAGCTGCTCCTGGGCCTCCTGGAACTGCTGCCTGTCTGTGAAGGGGCCCCGGGACACGCAAATAAATATACATAAAGAACAGGATTCCCCCTATTTTCCTATACTTTCTGGGTTTTTGTCTTCTTCCTCTCACTTCCCATATTTTCCCTCCTGTGTGTTTGTTTGTGTGCGTTTGTGTCGACGATTAATTAGCTATGTCTGTGCGTTTTTTCCCTACTGCGTCTGGCGCATCCCCGCCCTCGGCTGGGCGCGCCCAGCCGTCCGCGGGAGCCTCGCGCACGCAGGGAGGACCTCATCGGGGCTCGACTTTCGGTCGGCGCGCGGTGCAACCCCTGGCCATCGCGCTCGGACGTCCATTCCCTGTGTTTTGTTCGGTTTCGTGCGTGTTTTTTTCGCCAAATTGTCAAGGATGCGCCTCGATGGTCCTCGCCGAAGGGGAAATGCACACGTCCGAGCGATGCCAAGACCCTGGGGGCCCGCGCAGGCGCGAAGGGGGCGCGCGGACGCGCGGGCTGCGGCGGCAATTCTCGCGACGGGCACGATGCCGATCAGGAAGGCTTCGCGGCGGGCGGCTCGAACCTTGGCTGCGCGTGAGGCGAGGCGCGCGGAAGCGAACGACCCTTGCCGTCTTTCTATCACTACCCTCGTCGCCACAACACCATCATGATGGACATCGCCGCGGGCCCAGACCGGACGGAGCAATGCAAAATGGGCTGGCAGGTCGTCACTGCCGTGGCGAGGCTTCTCGTCAATCCAAACTCGCCGTTGTGACCGCGCGGAATGGGCGGAATCGGCGGGTCAATTTCTAGTCCGCTCGAGGGCGCATCCTGTTTGATGTATTCGGTGGTATTGCGGGGGGCCAGAACTGCTCCGCCGAACACCGCACGCCATGCCAGGAATCGTCAGGAGGGATGGTGCACATCTCTTCATCGTGGCAGGCTGGCGGCGATCCTGATCATGATGGTCTGGTCCTCGCCGCTGTGAGCGACCCTCTCCGTTGCGCGCCGCTGCGCGCAGCCGTCGCGTCGCCCTCTCCTGCAACCGACAGCGAGCCTGTGCACGCCCTGACCCACCCACTGTCCATCGCCTTTGGATGCCCGAAGTGGGTGGGGGAAAAATGGGTACAATGCCCCACAACACATGTTGTCCCAAACCAACAGCGGCCGCTGTTGGGCAGGTGGCCTTCTGTCTCGAATGGGCACAGGCCGCGGCGGCGTGGACAGCGAGTCCTGTTCAAAATGGACAGGAACTGCTGTTGGGCATTGTACCCATTCTTTCCGTACCGTTCATCGCAACGGAGGAGGAGGAGGAGGAGGAGGAGGAGGAGGAGGAGGAGGAGGAGGAGGAGGAGGAGGAGGGCGGAGGAGGAGAGGGGAGGAGGAGGAGGAGGAGGAGGAGGAGGAGGAGGAAAGGTGCCCATCACCACGAGCACGACGCTGATTTGGGCCTCCTCCTCGCGCCCCGGCGCCCCGCCAGCGGCCGCGCAACGGCCGGCGCCCTGCCCGCGCCGCCCGGCCAGCTGGGCTGGCCAGCCTCGGCCGCCAGCGCGGCGGCAGCCGCCAGGACGGCGTTCGCGCCACAGGGCGGCGCGGAGCCTCCTACAAGGCTTAGGTCGGGCGTGTCCCCCTAAGGGGGATTTTCGACGAAAAATAGATACCTAGAACATGCTCCTAAATTGCTATATAGAAAAATTTAAAACATTGTCCCTATCATATGTGTTGACAACTCTTGAATATTCCTCCTGTAGAGGGACGAACCCGACTTAATACAAGGCCGAGGTCGAGCTATCTCAGCGCAGGCCGTGAGGTACACAGAGAGGGTGAGAGAGGGCGGCGGGCCGCTCTGTCGGGCCTCACACAACACGAGATCGGCTCCTGCGGCGGAAGGACGTGTCCGGGACGCGTCGCTGCAGGCAGGCCGACGCTCGTTCCTCCCTACCGAAGGACATCCTGGAGGCCCGTTTGCGTCGGATCCACTCCGGATTTGTCGGATTCCCGTCGGAGCAGCGCCCGACGAGCGTCGTCCCCATACCTGACGGGCCGGACGTGCGGACTGGAGAATTCCACTGCTGCGCGCCGCGCGAGGCCTCCAGGATGCTCCTCGTAGCCCCGCTATCTCTGCGCCCACCCTGCCTCCTCTTGCAGCGGGAACCTCTCCTCGTTGCTGTCCTCCTACTCCGTTTTGTTCTCGTCCTCCTCATCCTTGTCTGCCTGACGTAGTCTTTCTCTGCCGCGCCCGCCACCCCCGCATGGCGCTGGTGGC